AGGCACGCCACGTGGCATCGTACCACGTTGACGCTGACGATGACACAAAGTGGCGTTCTTGCGTCCGACTCGGAGGAACCCGCGTCTCACACACACACAGAGAGAGGAGGGGGAGGGAGGGTGGGGGAGGTTGGGGTCTTTGCCTCTAGACATCGGGCAGTAAACCATCAGCGCCGGTCTGAACGAGTCACAGCGTTCTGCTTTGTGCAGAAGCCAACGCGAGTGAGTCCGACTCTGCTGATGAGACACTGGATGTTGAAATCGGGCCAGAGTTTGACTTGTAACCGAACCAGTGCTGTAGAAATGATGCACTCGCATGAGGCCGAACCCGGCTTATGGGATGTGTAAAAAGAAAAATAAGCGATTTTTTTTGTCACGTGGCTTCTACTGCTGCTGCCTTCCATCCCGTCTGTGGTGGCTCCTCCTGACGCCTCTGAGTCGACCTCTCTCTCTCCCTCCGAGTCGTCCTCTCTCGCTCTCTCCGAGTCGTCCCCGCTCTCTCCCTCTACGCTGTCTCCTCTCTCTCGAGTTGTCCCCTCTGTCTCTAAGCTGTCCCCTCTCTCGTCCGCTCGGCGCGACGATTCCTCAAGGGGCAGAGCAGTTGATAATTTCGAAGGTGGCATCTGTCGTTTGCGATGGGGCCTCGGCTAACGCCGCTACGGGCGGGTCGGTGTCCTCGCCTGATCATCCCCCTGTGGTCTGCCATCGTCTGCGCGCGTGGTTTGGGTTGAGCACGGCCTCCGTCCGAGCACGCCGAATCATCCGGCCGAGCGCACGGCCCTTCGGAATCGTCAGAATGTTTCATTCGGACTGGAGGAATCCGATGAGCTGTGAAGCTTCTCTCCTTCACGGTAAACGTTCCCACTGCGTCTCCGGGTCTTCATGTCGCACCGCAGCAGGACATCTGCAGCCGGACTCGCTGTGTAGTGTCAACGACGGCAACGGTAGGCAAAGACAAAGGCGCAGCCCCGCAGCTGCTCGTTCGCGACCACCGTTGACGGAAGGGGCCTCGACCCGAGCTCTAGGATGGTGGGGTGGGGGGGGTTGTGGCCGATTCTTCTGTGCTGACTCGTGCGTCCTGGCACGGGGCCGGCAGTGTTCCCCGCACTCTACCCCACCCGCACCACGCGGCCCGTGCGATCGCTCCGCCGCATCGACCACTCACGCCGCCGGTCGAAGGTTCAAGAGACCGGCGACGGGTTCGACGAACGATCCGACAACGGCCTCTCACTTCCGAGACGGGCTTCGCGAAAAAGTCCGGCGGAGGCTCCGAACGGCGCGCCGGTGGTCCGGGAGGGCGTCGTCAGAAAGTCACAACGACGAACAGTTACGAAAAAAAAATCACGATAGGAGCGCGAAGTATAGGGAAAGGTAAGAAAATTATTAAAACTAAATTTTTTAAAAAAATGTCATCTTACCTGGTAGAGCCCACTGAGCTATTGGCTTGGCCACAAATGATAGCTAAACTAAGTGGCTCATCATCATGTGGACATTCATAGCGTAATGTGTGAAGGCGGGGGGTGCGGGGGAATGTAAGGGGATGCCACACACAGAAACTCTACCGGCCAGAGAGCATAAGCCTGTGCCCCAGTTCTCTGTTTCCGTGTGCGTGGGAACAACACTCGATCTCCACTTGTATATAATAATCAGAAACCGGACTTTGCCTTCAATCGCACCGATGCTTGCATGCTGAGCACGGGGCCCATGGGGCCTTAACGTGAAGCAGGGCCAGCCACAATCAGCACCACCGAAGTTTCGAAACGGCAATATTGCGGGGGTCAACACTCGGTGCATCCACTGTCGTCGCATGCGGAGAACGCGAAGCGACGGATGGAAGCACCCAAACTCTCCGCACTTTCTTCCCGGGCCTGTCCCTCCCCAACGGAATATTAAAGTGTCGTGTTTTTATTTCATTTTACACATCCCATCAGCGACATGGCCTTGTGGGAGCGCGTCGTCGTTCCGGCAGCAGGAGTGGCAGCAGAATGAAAAGGTTTCTGGCTCAACCATCGAACAAAGAATGGTCACCGCAAAGCGCGCTTTAAACGCACTTCTGCGGCCGTCTGGAACGCTCTTCCTGCCGATGTTAGCAAGCCGCTGGAGCTAAGCGCTTTTAAATCTAGGTTGACAAACTCTTTCCTTTAGAAATGCTTCTCGTGTTTCGTTTGTCGTCCTTCCCCCGCGCCTCCGATTGGCGCGGTCGGATACGTGCGGCGCGAAGGAAGTTCAACACGCACGCGTCAGCATTCAACGCGGCACATTCGTCAGCATTGGGCTCAACGCAGGGAAACCGTGGTCCGGTTTTGACACGTGCAACAAAAAAAAAAACACCCCAGCGTCTCATGAGCAGAGTCGGTGGTGCTTTTGCTGCTCAAAAAGTCCGTGAGAGTTTGGCACAAAGCAACAAAAAAAAACACAGACACACAGGAGGGACCCAAACAGGGCCACCCCCTGTCCCTCTACCCCCACCCCCTCCTGAAAGGCGGGCGAGAATAAGAGAGGTGGCGAGAGACGCGGCCATGTGATTCAGGACCAGTTCCCTTGTGTTTGCTTCCGCGGGGCGCGTGAAGTGGAACGCGCGGGTTAAAGTCCAACGCGTCCCTTTCGCTCTCTCTCTCTCTCCATCTCCCTCCCTCGCTCTCCCTCTCTCGCTCTCTCTCTCACTCTCCCTCTCTCGCTCTCTCTCTTTTCTCACTCTCCATCTCTCGCTCTCTCTCTCACTCTCCCTCTCTCGCTCTTTCTCTCTCTCTCACTCTCCATCTCTCGCTCTCTCTCTCGCTCTTTCTCTCGCTCTTTCTCTCCCTTCTTCTCGCTCTCTCGCCAATGTTGACGGACGTTCGTTTTTGTTTTGAAGAGGCGAGCGAGCGAGCGAGGCAGGAGAGCCGTGAGCTCCACCTCGCCGTGAGCTCAAGAGCTTGGGAGAGGGGAGAGTATGATGGGGGGGAGGGTGTTTTGTTTGTCCACACGGCGAGCGTCAAGCAATCAATTCAACGTTCATTTGTTACGTGGAAAGTCCCAAGTAGCCAGCTACCCAGCTAGTTCGCGGGGGGGGGGGGTGCGGGGTGGAGATCCGTGGTTCCATCGGCGCGGAAAACGATCGGCGCAGATCTGCGTCGTGCTCGCTTCCCTCCATCTCGCCCCCCCCCACACAATCCACCCAACTATGCACCCCCCTCCCCGCCACTACACACACACGGCTGCCCCATTCTCCCCATTGAAGACGCCAAGGTCAAGGTCAAGAGGTCGTCGCGGCAAATCCTGTCGACGTGACCACAACCGGCACCGGTCGCGTTCTCCCCGCGGAAGCGGCTGCCTGGCGGGTCCCCAACGCAGAACAGTCGGTCGCGCGCGACCCAATCGCCTTCACACGTGAACGCCTCCGCAACCTGGGCCTGCGAGCAGCTTGCGCCAACCGGTTGCCCACCGACGGTCCGCTCCGGCGTCGACCCGCCAACCGGACCCCCGTCGCGGCGTCACGTGGTGCGTGCCCACGTCCGCCGCCGTCCGCGTGTCCTCACCGCGCGGGTCTACGGCTCTCTGTGCGAGTTCGCGGACCCTTGTCGCGAGCCGTCGTCGGCGCCCGCGCCTGTTGACCGCCGACTCGCTACGCTCGGTGAAAGGCGGCTTCAACGCGGGCGGCGGATGTAACCGGGAATGCGAACCCAGTCCCATCGGCGTCTCTGACCTCTGATGCCACTCGGCCGGAAAAAAAAAAGTTCTGTTGAATCCGAAGTAATAAACGCGCGTGGCAGTTGTAGACTTAGCGCTGGGGAATTTTTATCGTGGAGGAGTGAAACCCTCCCCCCCCCCCCCCAGTGTCTATCTGTCTGTCACACTGCGTGTCTCATTGTGTCTCTCTCTCGCCCTCTGTCTCCTTCCCTCCGCTTGGCAGTAACTCTCTCCGAGTCCTCTTCTCTGTCTGTCTACGGCTCGAACAAAAGCCCCCCACCCCCCACCTCCCACAACCCCCCACCCACCTCTCTCTCGTTCTTCATTTAATCACCCAGCACCACACTGGCCATGCCCGGGACCAGCTATGCCTGTGCACTGGTTCAAGAAATCAAATGAGCACCATTCCACCTCGCACTGCTTCCTGTCCAACTCCCCTCCAAACTCCTTATTCATAGCCCGGTGCCTGGGTCTCTCCCCGCAGCCCGCGCACCCACGTTACAGTTTCACCGCCTGCACACTGCAAATGTGTCTACGAGCCCAGCGCTGCCGCACGCTCAAAGGCCTGCCCTGCCCCAAGCCCTCCCCCATGCCCTGCCCTGCCCTGCTCCGTGCTGTACCTCAAGTCATGCATTGCCCTGACCCAGGCCCTGCCCTGCCCCAAGCCCTGCCCCAAGCCCTGCCCCAATCCCTGCCCCAAGCCCTCCCCCCATGCCCTGCCCTGCTCCCAAGGGACAACTTTACGCGACTCTTGCAGACTCATCCCTACCCCGCCATCCCCCACCGCCCCCGTCATGCGCACTCTGGGCGAGGTGGCGAAGCGCCTTGAGAGATAAACGCGCGTGAGTGTGTACGCGCGCGCACCCAACACGCACTCGGCACGGCGCGAGTGCCACTGATACACAAACACAGCTGCTGTCAAGTCCCTCTAGACGCACGTGAGCTCACTTGCCACTCTCGCGCGGTGACGTTATCCGTTCTCGCGACGATGATGGATGGTAATGATAATGACGGCGGTGGTGGCGGTTGTTGTGGTGGTGGTGTAGCGCGGTTAGCTGCGCTGCGGCTACGAACCCAGCGACCCGAGATCCACTCCCGACATCATATCTGGGTCCCTCCCCCCACCTAACCACCATCCAGGTTGACTCAGCCTTAAATGAGTACCTAGTGTGGTGGGTAGTAAACACGAGTACCGGGAAGGCAAAGTCGGCCGGGCACCACCTCAGTCGGTGGTGCTGCCTCCGAGCAGAACTTTCCCCAACAGTCTGTTGAGGCTACGCGGGGGATCTGTGTCTTTGTGTTGTGTAAGAGTAACCAAGACTGAGCTTTACCTACGGAGTCAAACGGCAACAGGAACGGCAGGTCGCTGATGCTGTGGATTTCAGCCCGCGACAGGACGTCCAGCACGGCCTGCGGCATCTCTGGCTCCTGCAGACACAAAGTCACCATCATCAACATCATCATTAATATCATTATCACCATCATCATTAATATCATTATCATCAACATAATCATTAATATCATTATCATGAACATTGTCATTAATATCATTATCATCATCATCATTAATATCATCATCAACATCATCATTAATATCATTATCATGAACATTGTCATTAATATCATCATCAACATCATCATTAATATCATTATCATGAACATCATCATTAATATCATCATCAACATCATCATTAATATCATTATCATGAACATTGTCATTAATATCATCATCAACATCATCATTAATATCATTATCATGAACATTGTCATTAATATCATCATCAACATCATCATTAATATCATTATCATGAACATTGTCATTAATATCATCATCAACATAATCATTAATATCATTATCATCATCATAAACATCAACATCGTCATTCAGATCATCATCGTCATGAATATCATCAGCAAAATCGTCGGTAATATCATCATCAATGTTATTACTATCTTAATTAATATCACGATGGGAAGTAATTTTATCTTCATTAATATTGTTGTCACCATTGTGATTGTCATTAATATCAACGTTATCACCATTAACATCATCTACATCACCAAAGGCAAAAATCCCCCGTATAGCTTGAACAGACTTTGGGGTCAAGTGCTGTTAGCGAGTAGCACCTATGAGGGCCGACACGGCACACGAGGGGGTGGGTGGACGGCACCACGCCTGGCCGCCTTTGTCTCCCTAGTGGCGATGTTGTTTACCCACAGCACCAGGTACTCATTTGAGTCCGAGTCGACCGAGGGGAGGCCCAGGACCCATTCAGATAATCGTCACCGATGAGCGGAAATCTTCACCACCACCATCATCATCATCGACATCATCATGCCCACCCAGCGGAATCAATGGGTGCAACCGAAAACCCAACCAGTCGATCGGCAGATTTTGTGTGGGAACTTCCCACCTCTTTCCAGACAAAACCTAGCCGGTGTGAAAGATCCATGGAAGAGATTTTTCGGGTTAAATCGCGTAAATATAAATGTGTCGTTAAACCCGCCACCACCCGACACGGTCAATTAGTAAGGTTTGTCACGTCAACAAAACGTACCAGCTAGTTACTAGTACAGCACACCCAGTGTGTTGGAGAGTAAACCCACAACGTTTGCAATTCGATTAACCGCGACGCTTCACCCCTAATTACAACCAGCGTCATCAGGCGGCAGCCAGAGTTGTGGAGAAATCCTCCTCCTGATTCGGTCTTAAATAGAGGGGAGGGATTCATGTGATGCCGTCACTACGCGAGCCAATATTTGGCGCGCGAACCGCCAGTGTGAAAGAGTTGGCCAGGAAACTCCCCCTTTGATGGGGCTCTGGAAGGCTCCGTTCCGGCAGCGGCGCGCATATTGCAGGGGCTGCGCCTTTACTGCTATTGCCGGGGGCACGGGAACTGCGGACACGCAGGCATCGCGCAGAATAGCAGCGGTAACAAGGCCGGCGGCGATCTGTCAAGAATGACGCAACTCTCACTCAGGGTCACTCCACCGCGACCAATCTGCCTGCCTTGCCCTCTCATCATCGCCACTCGGAGCGGCTCGCGGACTCAACAGCGACAGCCCCCCCCCATCCCATTCCACCACAGCCCCCCCCTCCCCCACCACCGCTCACTCCCAGGGTGCCGAAACGACGGACGCATCCGCGTCGAAATCATTTCAGTGGCGAGGAATCGGGCGGCGTCATCGGCGTCTCTCCGTGCGCGCGTGTTGACCTCTAGCTCCTCGCCCCGTGACCTCTCAGATGTTGAGACCTCGCGACTCGCATCCACCCATCCTCTCCCAGCCTCAACATCGCCCGCCGTACCCCCCCCCCCCCCACACTCCACCACACCTAACCCTAAACTAGCCCCCCACCACCATCCCAGCCACACATGAGCCGTGACCTTTACGAGCATCACAAAACGCGTGGTAAAGACGGGCGGTGAAGGGGGGTAGCCCCCCATAACGGCGGGGGGCTGTCACTGCCGCCGGAGGCAACTCCACTGGGCAAATCCTGGGGTGGGTGGGTGGGGCGCGAGAGACTTTCGCAGACTCGTCCCCACTGAACAGGCCGACTAAGCGACGGTAGGAACTTCCTCCTCTTGTGCACGGCGGCAATTGGTTCGCCAAAGCGATTCGGTCGCTAAGCGAGTACAGAAAGTACACGTTAGAGGCTGCTAGAGTCGAAAGTTACCCCCTTTGTCAAACCACAAAACGTATTTTATAACATTTTAAACAACGGATACTAATACGTAAAGACACTAACAACATGATAAACGTATGATATTAAAAGAAAGGTGGTTAAGCAGTGCATTCATTGATATTCAACGCACCTGGAACAGCCCCTCGTTAACAGGGTAATGGTCGGTAAGCGAACACATGGAAATCTATGGATGCACTACACTACTGTACACTACATTATAAACTACTATACACTACACTGCTATATACTACTATACACTAAATTATACACTACTATACACAACATCACTATACACTGCAATAACATACACTACACTACACACTACTATACACTACATTATACACTACTAAACACTACACTACTGTAAACTACATTATACACTACACTAAACACTATTGTGCACTACTGTACACTACATTATACACTGCTATACACTACACTATGCACTACTAAACACGACACTACTATACACTACACTACTATACACTACACTACTAAACACTACACTACTAAACACTACACTATGCACTACTAAACACTACACGACTATACATTACACATTGGGCTCTACGTCGCTCATAGGGGCGGTCGTTAAGAGGGGTTCTACTCTGTAGACATTTAGATTGTTGTACCGGTTAAGGCCCACTGAGCCATGTAGCTCTCTTTCAGAAGCTACATCACCAATGACAGCTCAACGAAGGCACTTACTGTCACGTGGACATTTAGAGCAGCCAAACACTCTAAACGCGCGACGTTGTTGATTCTAAATGTGGAGGGAAAAACCGGAGGACCAGAAGAAAAATCCACGCCACCACGGGGAGGGTGGGGGGCGAGACACGCAAACTCAAATATACAGCAGGTGTCAGGGTCGGGTTCAAGACCACGAGCCCCTCAACGCCAGGCGAGGTTGTAAACATCTCGCCAACGTGACGCCCAGATGTCTGTACAGGGGTGAGGGTACCCACACTTTACCTCGCCGCACCCGAGCTGCCGATCGAGTTCACAAGGAGACCTCAAACACTCGCGTCGTTCGTCGCGAACGGGAAAACGTATGCGGCAGTGGGCCCGACGTTCTGGGCAATGGGCCTTCTTCACAGCTGTACGGGCTTGACTCGGTTGGTGGTGATGCGGTGATGATGTGGTGATGATGTAGTGATGTTGGTGATGATAATGTGATGTTGGTGATGATGATGTTGGTGATGATGATGATGTTGGTGATGATGATGATGATGATGTTGGTGATGATGATGTGATGATGTTGGTGGTGATGATGATGGTGATGATGATGATGATGTTGGTGATGATGATGATGTTGGTGATGATGATGTTGGTGATGATGATGATGATGTTGGTGATGATGACAATGATGTTGGTGATGTTGGTGATGATGATGATGTGGTGATGATGATGTTGGTGATGATGATGATGATGATGTTGGTGATGATGATGATGTGGGTGATGATGATGATGTTGTTGGTGATGATGATGATGTTGTTGGTGATGATGATGATGTTGGTGATGATGATGATGATGTTGGTGATGATGATGATGTTGGTGATGATGATGATGGTGATGTTGGTGATGATGATGATGGTGATGTTGGTGATGATGATGTTGGTGATGATATGATGTTGGTGATGATGATGATGATGTTGGTGATGATGATGTTGATGGTGATGTTGATGTGGTGACGCTCCCTGTCAGCCGGACACTGCCTCGTCTCCCCACCCCAGCCGCTACGACGCAGCACAAACCCAGTCTCGACAAAACTCCACGATTCATTACCTCGTAAACCACGCCAAGGTTTTATTGCGGCCATATTTTACTCATTCACCGAGAACCAAAACATATTCTTAAAAATTACATCACGTGTCCTCCCCCCCTCCTCCCCTCCCCCCGTCGTGTTGCGATCGCAAGGGGCTCGTTCGCGAGCAACTTGACTTGTTGCAGCAAACAGGAACCCGTGACAAAAGGGGCGATGATCAGCGACGCAACAACAAAAAAAGCCGGTAAACATGCCCCGTTGGCGTCAACGTTGGGGGCAACGTTTTGGGCACCTTTTGGTCACGTTGGGTCAACTTTGGGTCAACGCTGGGTCAACATTGGGGCAACTTTGGGTCAACATTGGGGCAACTTTGGGTCAACGCTGGGTCAACATTGGGGCAACTTTGGGTCAACGTTGGGGAAACTTTGGGGCAACTTGGGGCAACTTTGGGTCAACGTTGGGTCAACGTTGGGGCAACGTTGGGGCAACGTTGGGGCAACTTTGGGTCAACGCTGGGTCAACGTTGGGGCAACGTTGGGGCAACTTTGGGGCAACTTTGGGTCAACTTTGGGTCAACGTTGGGTCAACGTTGGGGCAACGTTGGGGCAACTTTGGGGCAACTTTGGGTCAACGCTGGGTCAACATTGGGGCAACTTTGGGTCAACATTGGGGCAACTTTGGGGCAACTTTGGGGCAACTTTGGGTCAACGTTGGGTCAACGTTGGGGCAACGTTGGGGCAACTTTGGGGCAACTTTGGGTCAACGTTGGGTCAACGTTGGGTCAACGTTGGGTCAACAGTGGGGCAACGCTGGGTCAACAGTGGGGCAACGTTGGGTCAACAGTGGGGCAACGCTGGGTCAACGCTGGGTCAACGCTGGGTCAACGCTGGGGTAACCTTGGGTCAATGTTGGGGTAACCTTGGGTCAACGTTGGGTCAACGGTGGGGCAACGTTGGGTCAACGTTGGGGCAACGTTGG